GAACAAAAACTCATTAGGAATATGATTATTTACAACTTTTATCTGAAAACTTTTTGTGTAAAATAGATTATAATGGAATTAGGGACAATTTTTAAAATAGCCTAAATTGTTTTTTTTTTAATATCTAGTAAGCCATAAATTTTTTCAAAAATTTGAAAGGCGCATATTTACGACCCCACAAAACTGCAATTCTTTGCCCATTCAACCGACTCTCTATCTCCAGTTAGTTTCCGAGAGATACCCGTAGAGAACATTAGTAGGAAACTGACCATGTATATGTAAAAAAAAATAGTAGGTAAGTAAGATTTTTCATTGTTCCCCATATGCCATTAAATTCACGAGTCGCCCCTGTAAAAATTAACTTACTAAAATTCTAGATTGGTAAGGCGGTTATTACACTATAAAATTTCTTTGTCAAAAATTTTATTTAAAAGATATTTTATGAAGAATTTGATAGTGTAATATGTGTGATTTTATAATATACTAGCTGACCCGGCAAACGTTTTGCCATATAAATATTTTTTATGGGACAACAGAAATTTTTTGACGGACACTGATTTGACAGAATTGATTGAGAATTATTGATTTACAAATATCGCTATTAAAAAATAAGGGTTGATTGTAGAACGGTGAAAATTTAAGGTTATATGTATTATATGATTGATAACCCATATGCACGTCCCTGATGAATTTATCGCCACTTTTTTAACATTAAAATATAGTAACTTATAGTAACTTTTATCCTCAAAATTTCATTCGAATCACTAAAAGCACTTGGAAGAAAATTATAATAACTCGAAAAATTATTAAGATTTTAACACCCTGTAGCTACGAAACAAAGCAGAATTGGACCTATGTTGATATGGAAAATAAATCTTATTTTTACGTGAGGAATCTCCCCACGAGAAATGGCACATGTTTTTTGAAACACCCTGTATATTAGATTGTAAATTAACAACTATCAAATTTTTCATCAAATATCTTTTATAAAAAATATTTGATAAAGAAATTTGATAGTGTAATAGTAGCCTTAGATCACATTCCATAGTATATCCTAACCACAGACCAACTTATAAGATCTCTGGTTAGATGTACTCTGTGGTGTAGTTTAATTATGAATAAAATAAAAATATATATTTGCTATATGTGTATTTCAATATATATTACAAGAATTTACAAATTTGTTTTAACATAATAATATTCATACTATGTGAATAAAAAATATGATAATACACAAAATAATTACAATGGCTAAAGCTTTGTTTTACTGATATTTTTATTAAGGTTAGATTAAATTTGTCAAAAAAGTGTCAAAACGTCCGTTATTGTATCGAAAAGTTAAATTTATTTTAACCATAGATAAAAGAAACAAGTTTAGATTGGAATGTTCGGTCTGCCGTCAAAACTTATAATTGTTTAGGATCGCATACGCTGTAGGGCGCTGCTATAGCGGTTGCAAAGAACAACCGCCGAACAAGAACAGAAATAATTTTCTCTTACCAAAGTGAGAACCTTTAAGAAATTATAAAATCTTTTAAAATTTAAATCGCCCTCGTTGAAAAAATACCTAAAAGTGTTTAAAACCTACATTTTTTAAGTAATTATTGCTATCTTGTGAGTTTTATTTAAATTTTATTTTCTCAAAGCCGTGATAATTGTGAAAAAGTGTCATTAAGAACTTAAAAAACTGTGTGAACTGTGCACTCCAAAAACCATCGTGGATCGTGGCATAACGTCGGTTTCCAATGTTTCATAGGTATTTCATACATTAGACCAGTCGACAAGTGGTTTTAGGTGGAAATAATTAGAGGCAAGCTGCAATAACACTTATTCTCTTTGTTTTGTCTATCGATCCCGGATTTGGCCGCCATATTGGAAAATCCTATCAAATTATGACATTTTTATGTTTTCTTTTAAATAATTCGGTCTGGGTGCACTGTACAGAAAATTTGAAAGAGACCAAAAAGAAAGCTATTTAAATTCTCTACAAAAAATATCCTATTCACCGATTTCGTGCATGAACAGGTTAACGAGATACAAGCGCTTAAATACAAAGCATATATTTTCTAGTGGTTCATTTAATATGAGAAACTGATTCTATGTAAATTTGAATAATTTGCCAGTACAAATTTATGTTTTTCTTGTGCTCGTTTCCACACTACCTGATGGTAGAGCAGTCGACGCACTTTTTTTAAGTGGTTTCCCCTATAGGCCTAATCCTAATCTTTGTGTCTTACTTCGGAATAGTATAATGATATAATGAAACACTAGGTAAACTACGGCACCGGGGCTGCCGTCTAGCGCTGTTGTCGAATAGATCAAGTATCAAATTTAACGTTAGCGCACATTAAGATGTATTTAAAAAAAATTGGCGCCGGGAGGCACGTATAGCCAGGGGCGGATACAGGAATTTATTTTAGGGGGGGGGCAAATAAAAAAAATTATATAGAATATGCTTTTCAGGGTACCATTTTTAACCCGAAAGGCTAATATTTAACCCAATTTACAGATTTTAGGGCGGGCCCGGGCCCCTTGGGCCCCCCTCTGTATCCGCCGCTGCGTATAGCCGCCCATACTAAAATATGTTAATAAAAAGTTAGTAGGCAGTTCTTTTAGTTTCAAAGTAAAGGAATTTTTCCAATTTTGGTTCGCGGTTATTTCCCCTATCCGCCACGGGGTCGCGTCCTATGGGAGATTAGAGTTCTCCACACGGATTTTCTCAAAAACGAACTACGGAAACACGGAATATCTGAAAAACTGCGACTTTCACTGATTTTGATGTTATTACAAATACTGTTGCAAATATTATTCCTAATCTTAAATTGAAAACCGCGTTTCGCTAGCTACTGTAATTTTGGAGTTACGATTTTTTAAAATTTTTAACCCCCTCCCATACCCCCTTACCAAACCCCCACCAAAATCTAATGGCCAGATTCTCTGGTGCCACAGTATTTTTGTGCCAAATTTGGTTAAAATCGGTTTAGCGGTTTTTGAGTTATCGTGTTACAGACGGACAGACAGACAGACACCATGAAAATATTTTGTATTTAGGTCATTTATGACCCAAATAACTCATTTTGAGTGAAATTAGAAAAACTTTTTTTTGCCGATCTTATAGCCCCATACAGTATCATCTAGTACCATACCTGTTAGTATAGTCGGCTAATAAGCCTTAGATGTTAATTGCTATAACTTTAGAACTGATAAGTTTACGAGAATAATTAATAGAACCTTTTTTGTAGAGAATTTAATTTGCTTTATTTTTGGTTACCTGCATTTTTTTTCTACAATGCACCCAGACCGAGATATTTAAAAAAATTAATAAAAATGTAGTTTTTATATCGACTTTTTCAAAATGGCGGCCAAATCGGGGATCGACAGACATGGGCGCCGGACAGGGGAGGCAAGAGGGGGCATTTGCCCCCCCCTGGATCACTGAAACAATAAAAATAAAAGCTATCTTCTTACATCCATCTGTAAAAAAATAATCATTATTATGAAATTGTTAGGTGTTACCTGTAAAATAATAAAAAATGTGGTAATTGTTGGGAAAACTGGAAATCGTCCGATTTTCACCAAAATTGGTATACACACTATTTTGAGGTCGTAGATTACGAATCTATTTTTTCTTGGCGGTCTCTTACCGTTTTTCAGAAAAACGGAAAATTATTTCAACATTGAATTTTTCTTTATTTCGGCCCTATAAAGTAATAATTTCACTATATTTTCATTATATTATAGTTTATCTAAAAGCCACACTTGATTGGGGATAGAAAAGTGTCCAACATTTTACTGAAAAACACTTTTCTTAACAAAATAGCAAAGAAAATTGAGACCAGATGGAAGTTTCACATTTGAAATATCCTTCTTTCTCTCTCCTATGTAATAAGAGAGACAAATATATTCTAGACCTAATCTAGAAATTTGAAAATTTACAACGTTGCCATTCTTCTATTTTTTCGGGTGATTAGGGATTTTAAATAAATTACCTATTATGAGATCGCCAATAATTAAATATACACCTATATCCACAAAATTACGCGGAAGAGTTTTGATTGCATTGGTTTTAACTTCTTTGCGGAGGGGGTTAATCTTTTTTTAGTTAATCTAATAATATAACAACAAAAGATTAACACCCTCTGCATGGAAGTTGTAACCAATGCAATCAAACTCTTTTCGTGCAACTTCGTGGGTATAAATAGTCAGATCTCGTTGGTAAAATAGCAGTTATGGGAAGGAGCCGTTCTTATGGCGACCGCCTTTCGTAATTGCAGAATGAGCGAAAAAAACACGCTAAATTTAGGTTTAGCATTGGCAACGTTGCTTTATATGCCAGAAACACATAAACTTACTTCGGGTTTCTCTTATTACCGATTCTGAACCGTCCTAGAACTGTGATGCGTATGCGCAGAAGGAAATATGAAGACATTATTTTATTTGCGGTTTTAGTTGCGGTCAGATTGTTTACAAATTTATTTTAGCAAATTTTCCTCTATTATGCATAGAATTGGTTAAAAAACTAACAGAAAATAGCAAAAACATTATTGATTATTGAATACCTAACAAAATATGTGCTAGAAAACCTTAAAAATATGAGAAATTAAGAAAAATTCGATATTGAAATTATTTTCCGTTTTTCTGAAAAACGGTAAGAGACCGCCAAGAAAAATGTTCAGATTCGTAATCTACGACTTCAAAATAAGGTGCATACCAATTTTAGGGTGTATACCAATTTTGGTGAAAATCGGACGATTTCCAGTTTTCCCAATAATTACCAAAAATGTCAATTTTTTATTCATTTTTACCTTGCCCCCCCCTAAATTTCATTCTTCCGGCGCCCATGTCGACAGACCGTGCAAATTGAATATATCATTCAGCACATCAAAATCAAGAAAATAAAATATAAAATAAAGTTTCTTATATGCAACACATTGTATTTTATTTAAAAAATTAAAAGAAAGTAATAATAAATTTGAATAAACAATTTTTGGCGACATAATTTCGGAAAAAGCCGAACCGCTCTGAAATTATCAAAAGGTTTGGGTCGCGACCGTAATAGCGCCAAATAGTATTTACATTGTCATTATGGGCACTTTCCAATCAAAACGCATTCCCTCTATCTGTGATTTTAACTTTCTCCGTTGACGGGCTGGAGTAAAAAATCTACGGATGAAAAGTGGCACGTAACAACCAATTAGAAATCAAGCTTTACCCATTATATTAGTTCAAGATTTTTTAGACGCATTTTTTCTTTTAAATCCATTTTCTCTCGAATGCACCTTTTGGTGTCTAATCAAATACGTGTTCAGAGAAAACCCCTTTCCACACGTTTCACAGGAAAACGCCTTTTCACTCGTATGAGTCCTCATGTGTTTTTTCAAGGTTTGTCTGTTAGATATAACCTTTTTACATACCGAGCATTCAACTGACATATCCTTTCCCACCTTGTGAATGCAGCTCAAATGGCGCTTGAAGCTTTTTTCGAAAGTAAACTTTCTACCGCAAATCTCGCACTGAAATGATTCCTCGATGCCCAGCACTTCTTTTTTATGGTTCAGTAATTTATGGATACGGAGATAATATTCCACTTTGAATTTCTTGTGACAAATTTCGCACTCGTGTTTAGCTACATCCGTATGGATCTCCATATGGATCTGTAATTTGGTTTGGTTTGGCACGCCCTGGTTGCATATCGCGCAATGATACTTATATTTTTCTTCGTGTCTCTTGATGTGCTCCTTAATCGAACTACAGTTCTTGCTGGAAAAACTACAAAAAGGACACGCATATTTTTGAATATGCGTAAACTTATGCACCGAAAGCTGCGCCGGAGTTTTAAAAATCATTTTGCAAATGTCGCAGTCGAAGTGAACATCACTCTCGTGCAATTCACGGTGATCATTGAGGAGCTTTTGCGATTTGAAGCTGAGAAAACATTGGTCGCAAGTATAGGTCCCGTGATTCTTCATATGACGTCGAAGATTATCGACAATTTGTCCACAAATACTGCACAATCCTTCTGTATCTTGGTTTTTCTGGTTCTGTCGAATACTTTTGGACTTTGTTGTTTTATGTTGATGATTATTTGATTCCGTACTCTTTATGGTTTTGGAACTCTCCGAATCTTCGGATACTTGAGATAGAGTTTGACATGTTGAATTATTTTTCTCATTCGAGTTTATAATTATTTTCGAAATATAGTCCTTTGTTAAAGGAAGCGTCCTACACATTATATATATGGTGTTGATCCGTTTCCTAAAATTTATTTGTTTCTATTACATGATCAACAATTACGTATATTTAAGAGAAAATTATTTTATTAAAGCTAATAAATTATTCTCATGTGTTCTTCAAAAACATAAACAAAAACAATCTAATATGCAGAAGAACTTTGCGACTCAAAAAGTTAGAAAAATGTTATCGTTATCGCCAATCAATCATGGATATAGGTAAGGAGAAACCTCTCTTAAGGGACTTTGTTTGAAAAATTTGTTACTAAAAAGAGAAAATAAGGGTTCACCAAATAACCACAGTGGCGCTAATAAACAATAAGGGATCGAACTGAACTCGAAGTTAGTCATAGAGAGTAGCAACTCTTTAATTATTTCCTGTTCCAAATATTATTAGAGCTTTATTATTTAGAGATATTTAGTGCGATACATGCAGATTTTCCTATTGGAGATATAATGGCAAAATATTTAAACGTAATTTTACAGCACTTACACAACTTACTACTGCTCTCTGGACCACCAGAAAAGGAGATAAAAATAAACCAAAGATGATCAGATGGTTAAGTAAAAAATTTAACATTTCTTCCGAATTTAAACATATACAGAGTGGTTTCAAGTGTATTCTGGAAACTTCAGCAGCATATTCTGCAGATAAAGATAAGTAAAAAAGTTCGTATAAACGTATGTATAATAAAAAAAGTTGCTTAGACACAGTGTGTAGAAGTTTCATTTCTATTTCGATTTTTTTTAAATAAATTCCCAACTGTGGATGAAAATTGGCGTCTGGGGGTTTTTTGACATGAGAAATTTGATTTTGATGTCAATATGATCCCTACTTGTAGAGAGCGCCACCTTAAACGGGCGAATCTTAAACTATACCGGGTGCGTCTCAAAAGTGGCTCACCTCTCTAATTTTTTTATTTTTTAAGATAAAACAACGAAATTTGGTATGTTAGTATATGACATAAATTAAAACTAATTAACATATTCAATTGTTTTCAGTTAGGTTAGGTTTATTTTTTTACTTTATTCGATAGAAAATGACACTCTGAATAGAATGACATATCATATGTCAACTTTTGACATTTTCGCAATGGTTTATTGTAACATGCGGTACATAACGACAATTTGACTCGAAATACCAAGTGTGTGGTATCAAATTATTCGTAAAAAATGATATGATTAGGCATCTTTTAACCGGCCAGAACAAGACACTAAAAACATTAGACGATCAAATCTATTTTTCCAAAACTCCTTGATTAAAAATTAGTGTTTTTAACATAGCTATGGCACTCTAGATTGAAATTTAAAATACAATTTGTTTTTGAGCGAAAATGTCAAAAGTTGACATATGATATGTCATTTGATTCAGAGTGTCATTTTCTATCGAATAAAGTATAAAAATACTGAGGGTGCCATTTAAAAATCAAAAGTTGTAGTAATTTCCGGTGAAACAGTAAGTGACCGAAAACAATTGAATACGTCAATCAATCCTTACTTTACTTTACTTTTTCGTGTCCGGAACATTCTATATTTTCTCGGCCCAATATTGAGCCACATCCAATGCTTCGGGTTTGCTTTGCCATAAATCGTCGGAGTTACAATGTGCAGGACAATTAACGCACTTTAGAAGGTGTGCCATATCTTGTATCATCCCACAGTCGCATTTGTCGTCATTTGGTTGCGCAAAGCCCCATCTCATCAGATTGGTTTTTACCGGAGCAACTCCTGTTCTTATGCGGTTCAACATTCTCCAGGTTTTAAAGTTGGACGAGGCACCACTCGACAGGCTTTCTGACAGAGGATAGTTTGTGGGTGGTTCATCCAGGGGGCTGCTGAGAAATCGTCGTCTGGATTTTAGTCTTTTAGATTCTTGGTATTGCCCGAAAAGTGGATGACGATTGTCGAATGTTTTTTTAAATTTCTCGCTGAATTCATGTGCCTCCCAACGTGAGTTAGGGCTGTGAAAGCCTGCTGCTTGGTACAGTTTATCCAGCGGAGCAGCCTTCATGCACTCTGTCACAAGTCTACAAGTTTCGTTGAGGCTTACATCGACCTTTTTGGCATGCGCCGATCTTGACTAGACAGGGCAGGCGTATTCGGCTGTGGAGAAACATAGCGCTTGTGCCGTCGTTCTTAGGACATCAGGTTTAGCGCCCCACTTACTGTGGGTTAGTTTTCTTAATATATTGTTCCTCGCAGCCACTTTTTGACGGTTTTTTTCGCAGTGGTGTTTGTAGGTTAGAGATCTGTCGAGTGTGACTCCAAGGTACACGGGTTTATTTGTGTGTTCCAGGGTCTCTCCGTTCCAAGCGACCTTAAGTTTGCGGTTTGCTAGTCGTGTGTAAAGGTGGAATGCACAGACCTGTGTTTTGGAAGGATTTTGTTTTAAGGAGTTCAGCTCATAGTAGGCAGACATGGCGTTTAAAGCGCTCTCTAACCTTGCTTCAACCTCTTCAAAGGTTCTTCCTTGAGCCGTAATGCCCAGGTCATCAGCGTATACAAAGTGTTTTGTGTCTTCCGGTGCTGGCTGGTCGTTGGTGTAGATATTAAACAAAATCGGAGCCAGCACGCTTCCCTGGGCTAGGCCGTTTCTTTGGTATCTCCAGCGGCTTTTTTTTTCCTTCAAGGGTGACATAGAATTGACGGTTTTGCTGGAGTGATTCTATTATCTTCATTAATTGGTAGTCTCCTGTTGTGTTATATACTTTTGACAGCATTTTGCGGCGGTTGACGGTGTCATAGGCAGCGGTTAGGTCGACAAGGGCCAGCCCCGTAATTACTTTGTTTTCATATCCCTTTTCTATATGCTCTGTGAGCGCTAAGACTTGATTGGTGCATGATTTCCCAGGTCTGAAGCCAGCCTGTTGGGGTATGATTTTTGAATCGACGACGTTGCTAATTCGATTTAGTAACAGTCTTTCATATAGTTTAAATAGATGACACAGCAGCGAGATTGGTCTGTAGCTATTCGCAGAGTTGGGATCATTCCCTGGTTTTAGGAGGGCAACTACTTTTGATTTTTTCCAAAGCTTTGGTATCCTGAAATTCTCTCGGCAGTGGTTGAAGAGTTGTAAGAGCCATTCTTTTCTGTCTGGCCCAAAATGTTTGATTTGTTCGACGCACATATCATCGACTCCGGCAGCTTTCCCGTTTTCAGCGTATTTATGCCATCGTTGAGTTCCTTTATTGTAAAAGGAGAACCAAAATATCTATTGTCACTGCGGATATCTCGATGCAGTCGTGCTTTCTGACCTTTTGTCGTTGGCTTTCCATTTAGGAGGAGTTGGTGGGCTACTTGATTGGCTGTTACTTTGGATGGTTCCTGGGTTTGTTTGGGGTCACCATCAAGTTTTCAAGTCAATCAAGCCTACTTTATGTCATATACTAACATACCGAATCTGTTTTTCACCCGGTATATTTCAAAAACGAATCGAGCAAAATATCAAATACGCTATATTTTTGTTATTTTGAATAAATTAAAAAAATAAAGGGTGTCCCATATAAAAACCCAATTCTTTTGTTAATAACTCTTAAATTATTAATTTAAAAAAAAGGATATTTAAACCATTATGTTCTACGTAAAAAGTTGACTTGAAAATGTTTTCTTAAAAAAAGCCAATAGTGTAACACCTCCAATAGAAATAAACCACTTCCTGCAAAACTAAATCAAACACATATCCTATAATAAATGCTATTTAATCTTGTTAAAGCAATTGGTATAACGAAATTTAAATTCTGAAAATAATAAAAAAAAATCAAACAAAACAAAGGTATCAATCAAAAGTAAAATCGATACCCTCAAAGTAGTAAGTTAGATCGGATTGCGTTTCAGCATCCGTCGTCGGGTTAAATAAAATTTGTTGTTGTTCTGCTTCCTCGTCGATTTGGATCACCTCTTGAAATTTGGCCTTTCTGATTCTTTCTTTCAGATGAGTTCTCTCATGTTGGAAAAGATACTTTTTCTCCGAAAACGCCTTCCCACATTTCTCGCAGCAGAACCTTTTCTCGCCAGTGTGGACACGCATATGTTTCTTCAGGTTATGGTTGTTCGCTATAACCTTGTGACAGACCTTAAAACGAGGTAACTTATACAGTAATGTGGGTGGACCATGGAAGGCCACTGTAACGGATACACCAGTTTTTATTAGTCCATTTACTGGATAAATGAAAGAAACAAATTATTAATTAACACTTTGTTCTATTGTGTAACATATATAGTACTTTTTTTTGTTCTAGGCGTGATCATTATTTATTAAACTTAAATTTTATTAAGCTCTTCTAAACGGCCTTGCAAGGAACAGGCCTCCATACGAGGCCCAATATTATAAATTAGCCATCCAACTTAAAACTAGAGTTAATTATAATCTTTAAAAAACTCAACGAATATTCCTTAAGAATATATTAATGGAAATTGTTTAAAAATTATAGTAATGAGTATTATACAGGGTGTCCCAGGCTGAGCGTGCATTAGAAGTCTCTAGTGAACTACAATATCTAGATCAGAGATTTTTTCCACATCACTGTTTCACAACGAGATCTATCGATTAAAAATATTTTCAATATGGCGGCACTTCCGGAGATGCCGAAAGTTGACAGCAACTTTCTTATTTTAAATGGGCACCCCTTTGAATAAGAAGACTAAGGAAGGAGCATATCAAAAATCTTAGGTCCACCGCGAAGGGACTCAAATATGGCCGACTTAAATTCCGGTTTATCAGTGCCGTTCTAATTTTATTTAAAAAAGGTAAAACTATGATGTAGAGTAGACGTGGGGTAGACTCAATAATTTGTTTTTTTTTTTATTTTACGTTACGAATAAATGTTGGTAGTTATTAAAATTGTTATAAAAATATAAAATTCTAATAAAAATAGATAAGTTATAATAATTATTTATTAACACAAACATCCGATACGCTACTGAAGCAGGTAAGTCAAACTGGCGTATCTAAATTCTTTGACATCTAATCTTTGACAAGTAGTAAATAAAAGCAAAAATGCAAGAAAAAATATATAATTAGTTAATTTAAGTGAATTTCATAAATGATCGGTTTACTACACATATGTTTATTATATAGTCACTTACTAGCGAAAAGTTGATCCATTATTTCACTCGATTTTTGCCAAAATCTACCGCACGCTACACAACCAACTATAGAGTCTTTTTCGATAAATCGCGATAGTGTCACTGTTAATTTAAGTTCTGCCACAATTTCCATCTAGATTTACTACCTTTATACAACTATCAGAAGTAGAATAAATAATAAAAAACATAAAATAAGCTCCGTAAAGACTGACAAATCCACAAAATTTCAAATCAAATTCAAATGTGTCAAATGAATCGTCAAACAGAACTGTCAAGGATCCCCACCCTAGAGTCATTTTTCCGCCCACCATGCATGAATACATGGATAACATTATGCTCCTTCCTTAGTCTTCTTATTCAAAGGGGCACCCCCATTTTTGATTACATAATTAAATTCTTTGCAAAATTTTATGAATTTTGATATCAAACACTCTATACCTAACATTAACCGTTTTTGAGAAAAAAAAAATTATAATTTTTGGAGGAAAAGAACTGCCTGTCAAAAAAATTGGTATAGCCTAAACGACAAATTTAATTATTACCTCAGGCACTGTGGCATAAAGAAAAGACATGTGGCTATTTATTTCAAAATTTAAATTGTTCGAATAGTTAGCCGTAACTGTCATGGAATTGAGCGATTAAAAAATTATCATAAATCATTTTTTTTCAAAAGGAAACCCACTTTTTTATTTCACTAATGAAAAGGTTTTTCAATCCGTTACTTTTTGATTATACATGTTCCTATACCTAAAATAAATAATTTTTTAAGTAATTTAAGATTTAATTTTAAAGCGTTCATTTTTTACTTGATTTTATCTAGCTTCCTTTGACATTAAGTGTCAAACCATCAGACAATTTATTTCCTTCTGTCAAAAAACTAATTTTATTTGAATTTCGTATATTACAAATGCTGCTGCTGAAACTTTATAGTGTATTTATAAAAATATATGTCGTATTTTAGTGATAGCTAATAGCAATATGGCATGGTCAGATATAGTTTTTACATGGCGTGACGTTTAAGGTCATAAGCCACTGGTTAAAAAACAAAAAAAAAATAGATCTTATTAAAACTAAATCTTAAATAACTTAAAAACGATTTATTTTAGGTATAGGAAAATAAAAAAAGTGAGTTTCCATTTGAAAAAAATTATTTATAATAATTTTTTAATCCCTCAATTCCAAGACAGGTACGGCCAATATTGTGTGACATTCGAACAATTTAAATTTTGAAATAGATAGATTATTATAAAGATATCGTTAAGGTGTCATTTTTTTATAACGAGAAAACGTCAGTAATCGCGATAATTTATAAACTCAACTTTTTAACACATAACAGGCCATAACTCAAGAACCACTTTAGATATTAAAACTTTTTTTTATTTTCAAGATCGGATATTTTACAATATGTTTGTATAAGAAAAATTCGATAAGGTTGTTTTTTTTATTCAAAAATTGTAAACAATCCATCTATTTACTTTTAGAGCATAGCAATTTTCAGCAATCGTGTAATTTTTTTATTGATAAAGATTTTCACATACTGCCTACAAAGAAAATACAGCCAGAAATATTAACAAAGTTCTTAAAAAAACTACAATCTATTATTTCTAATAGATTTCGAGATATCGATTTTTGAATTTAGAATTCTAATAGCGCAACCACTATCGAACACCCACTCAATTCCACTTATTTTTACCAAAAATGCAAGTGTTTCTAGCTTGCAGTTAAAAAAAATCAAGCTATAGGGAAAATTACAACGATTCGTTAATAAATGAACAAATTAAGTATCACGGAACGTAATTAAATCGTGAAGCTGAACGCATGACGTACACCTTTCCCTAGAACTTTAAGTACTGACAGAGGTATTGATTGGGTCGACCCATGGTACAAAGAATACAAGGTATGATATTGCGCAGGTTGTTCGCTACGTCACAGGTGATAACAGGCGCTATTGGTCAGCACGCTCCGCGCGCCAGTTCAAATCGTCAAGGTATTGCAAGGGTATTGTTATAAACCTGTTTTTTTTGTTTATATACCGTCATTGAATTATCGCTAAGCAAGTTACTGTGGAGCAGTGCGTAAGGAGTTGGGCTAGGAAGCGGGAGACCGGAGTTCGAATCTCGGCGAGACATAACTTTTTTTTTTTAATACTGTTGTATTCTATAGTTTATTTTTGTAGTATAAAAGAAAGAACTATTTATTCTGTTATTTTTTAATCTGCGGTATTAATATAAATTGATTGTTGGTACAATACCTCATTTAATATAAAATAATATTCTACTTTTGAAATGTATCTGGCCCTAATTGTACCTAAAAGTAATATATTTTACAGTGATATACCATATTGTAAACTATTTAATATTTCAGTCACTTAAAAAGTTAATTTGCATTGAATAATTGCCTACCATTAAAGGAAATTTGAGCTATATAATCCTTGATGGTCATATTCTGGGTATGCAAATACTTCCTCTAAATTTTGGGTTTCGTTCAACCGATTTATTCTCAAAACCTGAAACATCTACATATAAAAAGAAGCACAGGTCACTAATTATAATAGACTTCACCCTTGGAATTACTTCTATCACAATTACAATACATTCATCTGCATTGGCATTTTCTACTTTTCGATGGGAAACTTCAACTTCCCAACATTTTTTAAATGATGTAACAATTCCTCTTGTGGTTACTTTTCCATAGATATCCTCATCTCTGTCCTCATGTGAATTCAGAGGCAATGAACATGAAAATTATTTACCATAAACATCGCAAACTAAAAACCTAATAAACAATTTTATACCGAATATAGAAATAAATTTAGTATTCTTACCTATTATTATCGTCCAAATCCATGTTAATAGATAATTATTTTTAAATATATTTTTGGAACTGCTGGTTTTAGTAATTATTAAATTAAACGAACTAAAAAGTCTTAAAAATAACCAATTCTTAACCATAACCCCAAAAAATGCAGATATCCTGTCAACTTTCTTTATTTTTTATTTATTCATTATTTTCCTAGTGACGTCACAGGTGGTATGCGCGAACTGAACGAAATTGGAGCCGCTATCGATCATACCTTGTATTCTTTGTACCATGGGGTCGACCGGTCAACTGCGACAAATCTGCTATATCCCCTTCCACGTCTCTTAGCGATGTGCACAGTTTCTCGGTTTATTTCATATGTTTGGCAACGTGTTTACTGTCCTCTCTTTGTTCAGTACATTATAAACGCATTGTACTCTTCTTACATACGGAAATCTCGACCCAAGACTAACCTTTGCCAGCCCTTAGTATTAGGTATAGAGTGTTTGATATCCAAAATCATAAAATTTTATGGAGATTTTAAGTACCTATGTAATAAAAATAGGGGGAGCCATCTAAAAGAAGAAAGTTGCTGTCAATTTCCGGTGTTTCCGGAAGTGCCACCATATTGAAAATATTTTTAATCGATAGATCTCGTTGTGAAACAGTGATGTGCAAAAACTCTCCGATGTAGATATTGTAGTGCTCTAGAAACTTTTAATGCACGCTCAGCCTAGGGCACCCTGTATATCGATAACAAATAAGTTGCCAATGCGTTTTAGACTAAAACAACTTTTTTACCTATAATGGCCTTCTTATGTGTTTGTTCTTTGTAAAGAGGCCAAACTAACAATTATCATCTATGACAACCTTTTTTATATCTAAAAAAATAATAGATACTATATACAGACCAAGTATATACTCTAACTATTAAGAACTTATAATTAGTCTTGTAATAACGAAAGAGTCAGTAATCAGGAATATTTAAAATCAACCATTCCTAAGATTAAAAAAACGAAAATAGAGCTATAAGAAAATAATAACTAAAATTCGGAAACAAAGTTATAAACTAAAAAGGATAATAATTTTAGATATTTTAATCACAATCTGAGCATAACAATATGGGATCTTTTTTAGTGGGACCAATACACTAATCGTGATACCACTTTTGATATTTGCTACATTGCCCCATGTCTTCTTTTTTTCTATACTTTTTTTGTTCGTTAGGCAAATTTGTATATCTGTAAACCTAACTTCTGACAAGTAGTTTCCGTTTGAATTAACGCAGAAGTGTTTACAAAAAATAACTATTTTATTTGTAGATTTTCTTGCAGTGGCAAAATACCCATATGGGATTTCTTGGAGAGATACCATTTCTCTTCTTCACCTTCTGCACTTTTTTTCATCTCTATTTTTCATCTTTTGCTGTTTTGTTGTTGTGTTTTCCCTTTCAGCAGTTTTATGAAATCAATTTTTGTTCTCTCTTACTTGAAGACTTTCCTTCATCTTTTTCTTATTCATCGTTTGCTTCAACTCATCCTTTTTTTTCTTCAGTTTTAAACAAATCTTTCTAATAAACTATACTTTGTCCTTTATAATTAATCGCTATTTGCCGTGGACGTGTGGACTTTATGGTAGTGTTTTAGTTAGGATTAGGCAAAAACGTATGAAACGATTTCTCTTTATCCTGTATTAGGTTAATTAACGGTTCGTCATCGTCCGAAGATTCAGTGTCACTTATCTCGTGACTCTTTTGTTGAGTTTTTGTTTTAGGTCCGATTAATTGTTTTTTTGGAGTGGTTTTCTCTTTCTGATCGGGATCTTCATCAAATGCCGAAGAAGAAGTGTATAAATCGGAGACTTGACGTTTACTCATGTAGTTATTTTGAGAAGAGGCATGAGAAGCATGAGCTGGCCTGCTTTCATCTATCAGAGGCGGAGATGGCAATTTTGAAACTTTGTTAGATAGAACAGGGGTTGAGACTTGAAAAGATATAAGCGGTCGGTCGATTTGGTCTTGTAACGTTTCCGGTAAAGGTCCTTCAGTTATAATTGAAGGAGCATAAGCATCTTCGGGTATAACATCAGGATCAAGAGGGTATAAGCCAGTGGCTTTGAATCCATTTGTTATATTGGTTTGAGTCATACACTTCGGCCATGTTCGCGAGAAAATTTTATTAAATGCAACTCCGTTTAAAGTTCTCTCTAGAGAATTGCACAGGTAGTTCGACACTTCTTCGTCCCAGTGATGTTCGAAAGACCGAGTAACTGAATTATCTAGAGGTTGGAGCGCATGCGTAGTGTTAAAAGGTAAGCAAAACAGTATTATATTATTTTTATCTGCTTCTTCCAGAGCTTCATATGTTAACTGACACTTTGCACCATCAAAAATAAGCAGACACTTACCGGATGCTTTATGTCGAGCAAAATGTTGAATGAACTCTACGAACAAGCTACTGGTCATGCTGCCTTTGGGTGCCACGCTTACCTTTGTTCCAGGTGGCAAATCTGATGCTAATTCTGATCTGTACCTAATCCCTTTAAAAATAATCATGGGTGGTATAGCACTACCCACAGCATTTACACACATCGCTATAGTTACGTTCTCAGCGTGCTCCGGAGCATCGAGATGTACTCTGGTGCTCCCTTTTTCAGCCAATACTACATTTTGTTTGTGGACCGTAATGCGACACCCCTTTTCATCCATATTATACAAGCGTTCTGGATGTGCAATAATGTCTAACTCTTCATAGAGTTTTTTCACTTCTTCAAAATAGTGTTTCACAATGGGTTTATTATTTTTCTGCGCTCCAGCTAGATTAATTAGCTGGGGATTTATTTTTGATATTGATGGGTTTCGAATCAAAAACATTTTGAGCCATTTGCGTCCAGCCATTCTTGTAGACATATTGAACGAGTGCTTGATTTTAAACCTCTCACAAAATAAAAAGGCTTGTTTCCGGATAAATTTAGGGGTAAGTGGAATACCCAGTTTTGCGAAACGTTTAATTTGCTGCGATAAGTCTCCTTCTAATTGTTTTGTGAGAATAGTTGTCTTCCCAATACTTTTAGTACTGTTACCGCTTAGTAAATGGCTTCTAAGGGTGCGTCTGGGAATATTGAATCTTAACGCTGCAGCATTTGTACTAAGTTGATTATTTTGAACTGCTTCCATGGCACGTCTTAAACTATCTTCATCCCATGTACTACCTCTTTTTCTAGGTTTCGATCCTGACTTTCTTGAAATCTGAAATTATGCGTATAAAATTTAATCCTCTGTTCAATTATCGACTTATTTTTATAGCGATATTTACAGACATAACCTTTCCATAAAATAAATTTAAAAATATACGTATTTGTAATATATTAGCTTTGAAAGAAATGTCTATTCAGTCTGAGCTAAAAAGTTGAATAACCCTTATAAATAATAATATTATAAACATAAAATATTGTTTCAACATTTCCTGTACGTATTTATAACTAAAAAATAAGTGTTCATATTTCCATGATTGGTAGATGTTTCTAGTAAGGCCAACGTACAAAACTTGTTATGGTACTAAATAAAAAAATAATAATTTTGCTTTGATTTCAGTTAAAATATCGGTAGTGTTCCTATGAAAGCCGGTGGTTCTTTATAAGGCCAATCAAAAATTTGACGGTTGGCCTTGCTAGGGCACATGGTCCTTTCTAGAAACATTTGCAAATCATGAACATATGGAACACTTAGTTTTTAGTCATAAATACGTACCGGTAAAGTTGAAACAATGTTTTATATTTATAATATTATTATTTATAAGGGTTATTCAACTTTTTAGCTAAAAAACATTTTGGCCTTACAAAGAACAAACCTATAAAACGCATTAGCATCTTATTTGTAAGCAATATAGGTAATTAATACCTGTGTTAATACGCATTACTATGATTTTTAAATAATTTCCATTAATATATTCTTAGTTATACGATTGTGTTCAAGGAATGTTCGTTGAGTCTTTTAAAGAAGATTATATTATGTTAAGCATTTGATTTTTTTGTTTAAATGAAAGAGCTTTTTATGTAGTTTTAGTAAAATATTTTGATTATTACAACTCTAGTTTTAAGTTGAACGACTGATTTAAAATATTGGCCTTGTATGGAGCCCTGTTCCTTGCAAGGCTGTTTGGAAGAGCTTAATAAAAATTAAGTTTAATAACTAGTGATTACATCTAGAATAAAAAAGTAATGTAATAATAATAATGTTAATTAATAATTTGTTTGTTTCATTTATCCAGTAAATGAACTAATAAAAACTGTTAATTCGTTACAGTGGCCTTCCATGGTCCATCCATCTTATTTTATTTTACAGATTTTCTACAGTACAAATGGCGTAATACCTAGAGGACTTTTTTTGAAGAAATAAGTAGAGGTGTAGGCATTTATTATTATAAAGTCTGTAGATATTTTTTAAACGGTTTTTATTTACGCTCTGACTAAACAACCGCTGGCGGTATTGTTACAAAGAAATACCGTCATTCGGCGGCATAATAATTCTATATTTGTAAATGATGGTAGAAAATTGAATTAATTTGTCGTTGATGGCGGCATGCACTTAATCTGGTACAAGAAAGCCGTCCAAACACATGGTATATTGAAATTTGGGTAAAAACCCGATGGTTTTAGTATTTAAAATGTGTATCTTAACCGTCCCTATAAGTTTTATATTTAATTTTTTTTTTAAACCTCGAAACAAATGAGATAATGGACTCTACTCTATCGTTGACTCACCCTGTACATCAATACATAATCCCGGAACTTAGTAAAAACAATAAGTACATAAAATTTGGTGAAATAAGGGCGATATTTCTGTTTTGTAAAAAGTGTATCTACCGCCCGGTGTACCGGCAATACGGCCGCGCGCCGTACCTGAAAAATTTACCTCGTTGTTTGGCGGTATTCATGTTTATGTAAAACCGTCTAACGGCGGTCGTTCTATACCGCCAGCAGTAACTTAGCCAGTTTGTTTATATTAAGCAGTATACAAGAATGCAGGGTATAACCCTGTATAACACAATAGATCTGTATGGTCGCGGTGATTAAACCTCCCTCCCCTACAATCTACATACAGGATGTAAGAATAAGAGCAAAAAATACAGGAGTCATTTCTTTAAAAAAAAAATTATAAAATTTTCTACAAAGTTATCCAAACTCAGAGTAGGTAGAGACTTATTAAACAATGGCACAAATTACCTATAACAGATGCGAAAGAAAGCGACTGCATCGGAAACCGCTCGGCAAACCCGACACGCCTATTGAGTGGTGTAAATACACCAGTCGTTTAGTCCGGAAACCTATGCTGTGTCGTATTCGCTTGCTGGAATGACATAGTGCGTGGTTATATGTTTCTTTTTAAAACGCGTGTAGGATTTTTGTTGAACTTTTGAACTGTTATTTTTAAGTTTTGGTAATTTGTATATCTTATTTAAAATGGGATGCAAATGTGTTTATTTATAAGGAAAAAAAAAGATATTTATAGTATAAAAATTAATTTATTTAACAAAATTTAATTAAAATGTGACAAAATAGTTACCTTTCTATTGGTTCTATCGGACTTTTTTCGACTATATAAATCTTTGTTTGAAACTTTAATACATCAAATATTTTCAATCTAATAAATCATTTAATGATGTAAATAAGAGGAAATTTCTCACATGGGTGGTCAAATTTTATAGTTTTCATTATATCAAACAGCCTCTGAGAAAAGATTTCAACTCAAAATGCCTTTAATTATGTTTGACTACATCATTAAAAAGGGTCTTCAAATACATCAATGTGATATTTGTCTAAAATTTGCAAAAGAATCCGAATCTCTGGATAACTCGAAATTATTTACCCATTTAAAAGCCTTTGATCATGAAAGTGGAAAAATTTGTTCATTTTTTTTTGACGGGCTGGAAAAATTATTTATATTAAATTTTGATGAGTTTTGCACTGAATAAAACATTCAGAGGCTGTTTGATATAATGAAAACTATAGAATTTGACCACCCATGTGAGAAATTTCCTCTTATTTACATCATTAAATTATTTATTAGATTGAAAATATTTTATGCATTAAAGTTAGTACAAAAAATAAAGATTTATACAGTCGAAAAAAGTCCGATAGAACCAATAGAAATGTAACTATTTTGTCACGTCTTTAATTAAATTTTGTTAAATAAATTATTTTTTAAACTATAAATATCTTTTTTTTTCCTAATCTCCTACGAGCTGATATAATATGACGAGCAATCTATTAAATTACTGTGAGATTATACAGAAAAGTCCACAGACTTCGAGACATAGGAAAATCAAGTCCAGTTAGCGTGTGTCCAAATTTTGACAAGTTTTCAAAAATTACAGTTTTGTTTAGACTGACATTTAATTTCGCCTGACTTCTCGGTGAATGATTTTATGGGAGTACATACAATCTAAAATTTACGGCCATGAAGAAATTAAAAACTTGGAGCAGTTAAGACAGAAAATATTTAATGCCTTTGACACTGTCACCCCTGATATGTTATCCAATGTGTGGAGGGGATTTTATGATCATTTGGGTTATTGTTTAATGCAAGAGGGAGGCACTTTTGAACAATTTTTGTAATTTTTTAAATTTCATTATCCTGTTTTTTTACCGTTTACCCATTACCTACCTTGACGGACATGGGAAAACGGAGGTCCTTTTCAGGACCGCAAATATTCTGATTGAGAAAATTGGTAACTTTTTTTTGGATTAAAAAACAAAAGTTGTTAATATAATATCAATTTAAAAGGGTTTTAGTAGTTTTAATACACACTATGATATAAAATTTATTATTATTATAATGTACATTATTAATACTATTGTTCATTCGAAATGGCATTAAGGCCCAATTGCAACAATGATTTAAATTTTTCTTAAAGATAAGTAGAGCTTAGAATGGGCTGTATTTATATTTACTTTAATATTCACCTTAAATGAGGGAATTTGACTGATACAATTTTTGAATTTGAATTGTTTTTAATGATATTAACAATTTTAGTTCAATTTTTAATAAAATTTATTTAATATTAATAGAAATCCAAGGGATTTGAAACCTCTTTTAGCGATTTATAACATTCTCAAATGAATTACAGGTGCCCTTATTTTGAATGAAAATCACACAGCTTTTTTCATAGTCGCTGCAGTTGCTATAGCTATAAAAAACTAATTTTTTAAGGTGTGAAAATTGCGACACACGCTAAATGGACTTGATTTTTCGTATGTCTCGAAGTCTGTGGACCTTTTTGTATGCCTCGATAACATATTGGTGCAGATTATTTTCACCCAAACAAATAATAACCCAAACTATACATTGATGCGGATTGTCTATGAACCCATTCTGAAGGTCATAGAAACCTGAACGCGTAATTCGGTGTTCTTTCGCATCTGTAATAGGTAATTTGTGACAATGGTTCACACTAAATTGGTACCATTTAGTGTGCCGATATCATAAATCAAGTCGCGATTTTAAGAAGAATTATTATATGGGTATATCATATACAGATTGTTCCAAACAGCTACTCCAGCTACTCTTGATAATATGGCAACATAGGTAAGTAGTAGATTAAATTTACATGAAAGAAAATCCAGAAAATATCCAGTGGTTCTCAAAATTTGAGCAAAAATCATTTTTTGTTTAAATTTTCAAATTAAAATAACTCGGTTATTTTGGAATTACTTGAAAAACGTTCAAAAAAGTTAAGTTAGTTAGTAAAGTTAAAAAGAGAAAAACATGTTTCTTTTGACCAGATCTACCACTCCTTAAAATACTTGCACTTATTTCTGGTACACCGATATCTGATAAAGTTACAAGGATCTAGCCATTTAGGATTGGAAATAAGTCCTAATTATTTGGAAATCCGATTTAAATAATGTTTTCTATTAAAATCAAAAAAATCTTATTTAAATAAAAAAAATCCGATTTAAATAAAAAAATCTGATTTTTTTTAAAATATTTTTGCCAACCCTGAGTATGACCCATTATTTTTTACACCCTGTATAATATTTCCCTTCAAAACTTAGGTAACAAATATAGAATAAACTAGGTAACAAAAAGTTATTTAAAAAAGTTCTTACCGAACATGCTACGGTCCTATCTTCTCCAATTTTATGAATACAACTCAAGTGTCTCTCAAGGCTTTTCTTAAATGAAAATTGCCTACCGCATATTTCACACTGAAATATTTCATCGACTCCGAACAATTCCTTTTTGTGGTTGAGTTGTTTGTGTACATGCAAATATCTTAAAAAGATAGTAGAAAATACATTTTATTAATCTTTTGGTACTAACGTCTACTAATTTAACACGTTAATAAATAACAAGTAAGCTATACTTGGTTAAGAATTTCATAAAAAAACTAGTTTCTCGGTGGCTCTAAACCCTAGATCATATACAGGGTGGTCCGAACTGTATTCCGGAAACTTCGGCAGCATATTCTGTACATAAAATTAAGTAAAAAAGTTCGTATAAATGTGTGTCCTAAAATACTTAGTTTCAGAGATACAGGATGCAGAAATTTCATTTTTATTTCGATTTTTTCCAAATAATTTCGGAAGTAACGTCAATATTTGGATGAAAATTGGTGTCTGGGAGTTTTTTGACATGAGAAATTTGATTTTGATGTCAATATGACTCCTACTAGTAGAGGGCGCCACCTACATATTTTTTAACTGGTTTGAAGAGTAATAACTTTTCGTCCGTACCTGTATAAAACTACTGAGTAAAAAAATTTACATTTCCGACGTTTTTTACGTGAACAAGGTCTCTTGCTAAAAATCGCTACGAGTAATGGTTTTCGAGATATTTGGAATCGAAATTATCAATACCTGCCATCATTGACACAAACTAAACATGTTGACTAAATAGCTATTAGACTGAAATCATAAATTTGAAATGTTTTTGTGCCAAAAGTTCAACAGACACTGTTTTATCATCATTTTTCGCAGAAAAATTTATGATTAATTTAAAAAAATAAAAATTTTCCAAATTTATTATTTCAGTGAAATAACTATAGTAAACGCCACGAATGTTTGGAAGTGATTCATCACTTAATGAAGTTAGAATCGACACGCTCGCTATCATTTTTACATTAAAAACGTAAATTTTTACCGCAGACGTAGGTTTTTAAAGGCCCGGTCTAATCATCTGCCTGCGCTCCTCCTACTTATTCTAAAATGTTAGCGTGATTGACAAAGACGATACTATATCGCGTTTCTTTGATTGATTCGTTTTTGTGTGTCAGTCCATTGGTGTGCTTGCATTATTATAAATAAATGTGGATTTTTGAGTCAGAAATAAATATAATAATAAGTTATCAAATTAAAGTCTTTGTTGTTATAAATAAGCATTTATTAAAAAATGAAATATCATTTTTAAGGTGTTAATTTTTATCACACTGTCTCATGCCCATACAAAATTCGGTTTTTTTAGTATTTGGAGCAATTATTATTAATCAACGCAAACAGTCAGTTAATGTAGTTTGAATACTGGAATCATATTAATTGGGCCTCTTTAACAAATATTTAAACAGTTTTTTTTATTTTTTAATGAAATAAACGAATTATATCGACAATATTAGTATCTGTACTCTTTAAAAATTTTGTACATCTTTAAAAATAATCTAAAATGTCAATAGTCCATGGGTATATTGATAAATAAGTTCTAAATTACAAGAAAATGCATTTTCTACGGAAACTTAAAGAGATAGGTAAAAAATGATATAATATAATTTGAGAGACAGTTAAATTGTGCATCTGATTCTCGTAAAATAAACAGGGTGTTCCATTCAAAATTAAACAAGTTATTGCCGTTTGAAGCTAATAATTATATAAAATAAATTTTTAGACACTCTGTATAAGGTAGTATTATTTTTATTATTGCAACACAATAACTGATCAGTAAATAAACTTCAGTAAATATTTAGTATTAAAAACTTTGATACCCTTGGAGAAATGAAGCCTTAAAATTTTTACTGCAATTTCACAAAATTGAAAATATTTCAAAACGGTAAGGTTTAAGTATAATAAATCTTAATCAAATTTACCTTTATTTTTAATCGTAGAAACTAAAATGTAATATAATACAGGGTGTTCCATTTAAAAAATACAACTTTGATATTTTTTACTTATTTGGGACACTCTGTATCTTGTAAAATTATTTTTAAATTGTACCTCTAATAGTCCTTCATCGAATCCAAAACTTACAATTTGTAAAAATCTTATCGTTTATCTACAATACTCCGTGTCGTATGTGGTGAACAACCCTGTATAAAAGCGGTCGATAAAAGAGTAATGAATACAATTTTTTAATTAAAAAACGCAAAAAACAAGAAGAAACTAAGATTATGACCATTGCCTGGAAACTTATATGGTAAAATGTTGATAAAATAATTTAGTACACACTAAAAACACGGTATGTCGCTAGTGGTAGGAAAAATAATTTTTAGAGGTTACTAGTTTATTTTGGTTGCCTGTGATATGCATATACAGGGTGTTTCCTAATTAATCTAAAAAATAAAAAATCGTTAGAAAACGAATTAAGGCGGGCTCTTAATAAGTATATTTATTTTTTTCTCGACAACCGTTTGATGAACAAGAAAAACTCAAATCAATTTTGTTGAAAAACGATGGCCAGTCAACATTGGCATTGTACTTTCGAACATGCATCGCGTCGGTTAAGTAGCATCGTAGAAACCAAAATATGCAACAAAGTAGCTGAGAAATTAATTCAACTGTAACTGTAAAATATTTTTACTAAGTTAAATTGTTTTTGCGGTCAGGTTTCCCGGACGCTTTTCCAGATCCGGACCGTCCCGGACACTTTAAAATTTGAACGTATGGAAACCCTAAATATGAGCCAAACTTAGATTTTTTAAACACCCTGTATATTTTTTTTATTTTGTTTTCCTTATTATGAGTTTTCTAAAAATATTATGTGCATACTTATTTTCGCAAATAACGTAACAAATGCATTATTTAACTTTTTGAAATAAATCAACCTAATTTAAAAGAGGATTATTATTTTATTTAACAAGATAATTTTGCTTATCATTATGTTATCTTATCTACTAAACTGCAGTAAAAATGAAATTCATAACTCTCAATAATAAGGTAAATAAGATAAATATATAATATACAGGGTATCCCATTTAAAAAAAAACATAAAAAAGTTTAGGTTGTATTCAAGAACCACAGATCGCAGCAAAAATACGTTACTAGTTACGTCAATGAATTCTGCGTGAAAAACTCTATGGGGTTCAGTTTTCACTTTCAGATTCGATCAGTTATAAGCTATAAGATAACCGAGATAAAAGGGGTCAAAAAAATTTTCAAATTCACCCTGTATTTCTGAAACTAAGAGGACTATAGCAAATCTGTGGTAGCATCTTTAGTTTGATAAAAAGTAGCACAGTCATGTGAAAACCGCGTCTTTATAGCTCTACGAGAAACCCTGCAAAACGAAAATGAGACACCCCGTACAGGGTGGGTCAAATTGAACACTTTTAAAGGGAAGCACCCTTTTCTATAGGACATAGACGAAAACTAATAGCGGTGTCTGGAGCTCAATTTTTATCAAAAACGTTATGGTGAAAACCGCACATATCACACCAATATCTGTTACCGTTTCGGAGTTACGGGTTGTTGTTCAAAAATGTGCATTTTTAACAAATCGCTTTAACTTTTTTGCTATTGAAAATTTTTTATTCATTCAAAAACATTCCCAAAGTACCTTTTAACGTAGAATTTAGATATTAATGGTTTAAGTATATATATTTTTTAATTAATAATTAAGAGTTATCAACAAAAAATTTGATTTTCTGTGAGGGACACCCTGTATATTTTTATTTAACTGAAAATAATTTAAAATTACCTTTCCAAAAATATAGCACACTTGATATTTTGTTATAGTCCCCTTCCAAATAAAGTATTTTTAAAAGTTAGCCACTTTTAACTAGTAGGCTTTTAGACACTCTGTATAAGGTAGTATAATTTTTATTATTGCAACACAATAACTGATCAATAAATAAACTTCAGTAAATATTTAGTATTAAAAACTTTGATACCCTTGGAGAAATGAAGCCTTAAAATTTTTACTGCAATTTCACAAAATTGAAAATATTTCAAAAACGGTAAGGTTTAAGTATCATAAACCTTAATCAAAATTACCTTTATTTTAATCGTAGAAACTAAAAATGTAATAATATACAGGGTGTTCCATTTAAAAAAATACAACTTAGATATTTTTTATTTATTTGGGACACTCTGTATCATGTAAAATTATTTTTAAATTGTACCTCTAATAGTCCTTCCTCGAACCCAAAACTTACAATTTGTAAAGATCTCATCGTTTAGCTACAATACTCCGTGTTGTATGTGGTTAACAACCCTGTATAGTATTTCGTTTTAGTTGCTGTTCATACCTAGAATATTTTTTGCATTTAAAGCCTGAGCCGTTCAAAGCCTACTTATTCAAAGTGGGCGAGTTTTTAAAAACTCTATATCTCAAAGAGGAATCGAGCAAAATATCAAGTATGCGATATTTTTGGAAAAGTAGTTTTAAATTCTTTTAAATAAAATAAATATATTCAGAGTGCCCCATATAAATTAAAAATAGAAAATCAAATTTTCTGTTGATAATTCTTAAATTATTAATTTTAAAAAAATTATACTTAAACCATTAAACTCTACGTAAAAAAATGTTTTCATAAAAATATAAAATTTTCCATAGCGAAAAAGTTACGGCGCCGGCGATTTGTTAAAAATGCATATTTTTGAACAACACCCCGTAACTCCGAAACGGTAACGGATGTATAGTAATCATGTTTTTGATAAAAATTGAGCTCCAGACACCGATATTAGTTTTCGTCTATCTCCTATAGAAAAGGGTATTTCCATTTAAAAGCGTCGAATTTGACCCACCCTGTACATAGGTATGAATTATCTTTTATGTGTAGTGTATTTTACTCTCTTCTGTATTTTTTTGTGGCGTATAATAAGTAAAAAGTAAGAAATAAATAAGCAAAGTAAACCTACCTTTCAACTGTAAATTTCTTAGGACAAAAATCACATTGGTACTTAGGTATATTAGCATGAATTTCCATGTGAACTTTTAAAGCATTGGTGGAGAGAAGGCCCTGTCCACAAATATCACATTTAACATTAAACTTTCCTTCGTGTCTTCGGATATGATTGATCAGGGTTCGTTTGGTCTTGAATTTCGCAGTAAAATTACACAAAACGCACGAATAACTTTCGGTATGTGTAAAATTGTGCAGGGCTATGTCCATAGGAGTGTAAAAATCGATGTTGCATATTTCACATTTGAATAAAATGTCCTTTTCAACTTCCGTAATGTGCGTCTTAACGTGGTTATCGTATTTTTTCTTAGTCTTGAAATTGATAAAACATTCTTGGCAGTTGTACTGGCCATGGACGTAAAGATGCTGCAGTAAATGTTTAAACTTTTTGCCGCAAACGTTACATTTAGATTTTGTCGTTTCGTCTTGATCAGATATTTGTGAATTATCAGAAAAATTCTCGGTATTTTCCATACTTTCTTCCTCCTCCGAAGCTTCGATTTTTTCTGAAACGATTTCGTAATTTATTTCATCAATAATTTCGTTTTTAATTATAAGGTCTTCAATTTGAATGTATTCGCTTTCATCCTTTACCAAATGAACTAAAATTTCTTCCTGATCTGATAACAATAAATTGTCAAATACAATACTTTGCAACCTAAAAAAGAGCATTTTAGAATGTTGTTTAATTTTTGGCGAATGCGCAAGATTACACCTTAAACGCCAGTAACTTTATTCAGTTCACAATCTTTTTTATTTATTACAATAAACAGGGGTTTTAATTAGGCATGAGAAATTAATCACATAAAACTAGTAAAAATACACTATATACAGGGTGGTCCGAACTGTATTCCGGAAAAAAGTTTGTATTAATGTACAGGGTGTCCCACTTAAGATGGATACAAGCCAATATCTTGGTTGTTTGTTGAGCGATCTTTTTCATTTTTGGCAGGAGGCTGTATGGCTATAAGACGTACATTTTGTCCAGGGTAAGAAATACGATACCTCATAGACGTACGTTTTATTGGGGTTAGATATTTTTCGAGTCAAGAGTAAACTACCCGTAGGACTGTATTTTAAAACACGCCTTATATTGACATCAAAGTCAAATTCCTCATGTCAAAAAACTTCCAGACAAGTCAATTCAGAAATTATTTGGAAAAAATCGAAATAAGAATGAAAGTTCTACAACCCTGTATATATATACATTTATATGAACTTTTTTCCTTATTTTAGTCTGCAGAATATGCTGCCGAAGTATCCGGAATACAGTTCGAACCATCCTCACCCTGTATACTCCACATCCAAGAACTTTACATTAAATTAAGTAAAATTAATATACAGGGTGGTCCGAACTGCATTCCGGGAGCGTATTCTGCAGATTAAAATAACCTGCAGCGTATTCTGCAGATTAAAATAACCTGGAGCGTATTCTGCAGATTAAAATAAGTAAAAAAGTTCATATAAATGTATGTCCTAAAATGCTTAGTTTCGGAGATACAGGGTGTAGAAATATCATTTTTATTTCGATTTTTTCCAAATAATTTAAGAAGTAACGTCGATATTTGGATGAAAATTGGTGTCTGGGAGTTTTTGGATATGAGAAATTTGATTTTCATGTCAATATGAGTCCTACTTAGAGGGCGCCACCAACATATTCTTTAACTGGTTTGAAGAGTAATAACTTTTCATCTATACCTGTATAAAATTACTGAGTGAAAAAATATACATTTACAACTTTTTTAACATAAAAAAGGTCTCTTGGTAAAAATCGCTACGAGTAACGGTTCTCGAAATATTTGAAACTGAAATTATCAATACCTGTCATCATTGACAAATTAAACATCTTGACCAAATAGTTATTAAGACTGAAATCTTAAATTTGAAATCTTTTTGTGTCAAAAGTTCAACAGAAACTGTTTAATCGTCATTTTTTCGCAGAAAAATTTATGATTAATTTAAAAAAATAAAAATTTATTATTTCAGTCAAATAAGTGTGCTTATTCTTTGTCAATAATGACATGTATTGACTATTTCCATTTTAAATATCTTGAGAACGGTTGCTCGTAGCGAGTTTTACCAAGGGACATTTTTTACGTAAAAAGTTATGGAAATGTGTATTTTTTTTAGTCAGTAGTTTTATACAGGTACCGTCAAAAAGTTATTACTCTTCAAAACAGTCAAAACGCATGTAGGTGGCGCCCCCTACTAATAGGAGTCATTTTGACATCCAAATCAAATTTTTCGTGTCACAAAACTCCCAGACGCCAATTTTCATCCAAATATCGACTTTACTTCAGAAATTATTCGCAAAAAATCGAAATAAAAATGAAACTTCTACACCCTGTATCTCCGAAATTAAGTATTTTAGGACATACATTTATACGAACTTTTTTACTTTTTTTTATCTGCAGAATATGCTGCAGAAGTTTCCGGAATACAGTTCGGACCACCCTGTATATTAGGTTGATTATACTGTATACAAATTATATTTGGAAATAAAAGGAGTTAAATAATACACTTGGAATTTTATAATCGTTTATTTCATATTAATAATAATTTTCTCAACTTCGACTAGGGCATTGTGCATTTCACACGTATATCTACTAAGACAATTTATCATATCCTTTCTATGTGCAAATACTGATTTTCGCAAATGTTTGTTTCTAGGTGCAAGGTGATAATACAAAAAAATGTTTCATAGTAAATTTCTAGCATTTAATTTTGGAAATAAAAATATAGTTTAAATGTACATCTATATTTATTCTCAATCAAGTATTCTTATAACTAACCATGGATGGATATCCCATAATAAAATAATGCAATACTAATAAGTAATTAATACTATTTTTTTTTGGTTTTTGATTATATTCCTAATTCCTAAATGAAAAGAATAACTTTGGTTGTATTACTTATAATGGCACCGACCTATTTTTAATATTACTGTATGAAAAATCGAAACTACTATACAAATACATGAAAATAGAAACATAACTGCTAACACCATACTACTTTCTTAATTATCCGTTAATAGAATAAATAAAAGCACGAGATCTATATCCTACCTACTAATCATGGTCACTAGCCATTTAACTTAATTCACTATACATCGAACCAGGGCCGTAACTAGGATATTTAAAAGCTATGTTATGTTTTTATTGTAATACTTTAAAAAAAAATAATTTATCTTAGTTACAACTCCGATTGTAATTATTTTTAATCAACTCTGCCTTTTTCTAAAAAAAATATCCATGCATATAACAAATTTTGATTTGACGAAAATAAAATGCCAGGTATATTGTTTATTATAAAAATACAGAAAATGTAAAAAATGAATAGGAATGAAATAACAATATCAATCTCAATTTTATTTAATGATTCTTTATGTTTGGATAATTTCTGAGTTAAATCATTCATAAAAAATGTCTATACCAATGTGGCGGATTCATCTCTCCAAAAAAATCCTTTATGGGTATTTCGCCAATGCACTGCAAGAAAAATCTACAAAATAAAATAGTTATTTTTTGTAAACACTTCTGCGTTAAACCTAAACGGACACTGCTTGTCAGAAGTTGTTTACAGTAATACAAATTTGCCTAACAAAGAAAAAAATGCTTAACGTTTTTTACTTTTTTTTGCTTCCGACGAAGGAAAGAGATAAACTTTCCGAAACGTTAAGCATTTTTTTCTTTGTTAGGCAAATTTGTATTACTGTAAACAACTTCTGACAAGCAGTGTCCGTTTAGGTTTAACGCAGAAGTGTTTAAAAAAAATAACTATTTTATTTTGTAGATTTTTCTTGCAGTGCAGTAGCGAAATACCCATAAAGGATTTTTTTGGAGAGATAAATCATTCATAATTATCATAATAAAACTTTCATAAAATTTGTTTGAATATTTTATAAAAAAATAAAACATTAGGCAAATGAGGAGTACGCAATGACTACAGAATACAAGGACTAATACCAAAGATTAAGTATACTATATGTATACAGATATAAATCTTATCCCTAATTCGTGATACTAAAATTGTGATTTTTATGACGATGTGCAAACGAGTAAAATTTCCTGTGCGCAAAAATAAACTCGCGTAAAAAAACAATAAACAGCGTAATAGAGATATATCGCTAAACCGAATAGCTTACATGGACGTTAATAAGGCTAGGTATTATTTCCTTTACGTGAGGTGGTATTAACTCTCGTTTTGTTTACTAGGTATTTTAAAACTAAAGGGCTAAAGTACTTATTTCCAGTGCTTTATTGTTCAACGTCTGCCACTGGGTTTAGAGTAACAAGCAACAAATTCTCTTAGAAAGGCTAAGTCGTCATCTGTTGTAAACCTAAGCCTCTTTATAGGTTCTTTAATATTGGAAGAGGTGGAATCCATATTTTGGGCCATATTTATTTAATTAAAACTAATCCCAGCTACTTAAATATCAAATTACCTAATAAAACTAAAGTAATAATTCAAAACAATTCAAACATAACCTAAAATAAAAGATCTCGCCGGCCGGCCCCATATACGTATTACTTTTACAAATATACTAGGTCTCTATTTAACCCGGTGTGCAATTTCTGTGCCAGCAAGAAAAAGACAACATAACCCAGCTCCATATTAAAACTGCATAAGTCTATTTCACCCGCCGGATATGGATTGAACTGCGATTGCGCCAAACTCCGATTGATTGTTGTTTTAGTTCTGTTTGGATTACTTTTTATTTGTGCGCGTAAAAGAGTGGGATTTTGTTTTTAGTTTATTGTTTCCAACTATTATTTTCCAACTCCATGATAATGTTATAAATAATAAAAATATAAATAAAATTGAAGGTTAGGGGGAAATGTCAGTCAACCACTTCCCTTTAAAAACATCGACCAATGAAAACTTCTTCAGGTGAGAGGCATGCTCAGTTAAATGAATATCCGGGTGAAATAGACTTATGCAGAATTCCATATTGCTCTTTCACTGTTTGGGCTTCACTTTTGAGATTATTAGGCTGGAGTATATTTGTAAAAGTAATACGTATATGGGCCGGCCCTGGTTGTCAAATACCCGCATATGCCCATTTGGGCAATTTTTAAGCGTTATTTAGAAATAGGGCTTGGTGTAATTGATCCGCAAATTACGTCAGGCGGTAACGTTATTAGCGGGCGTTGCGTTAAAAATTGACTAGCGCATATCGTAACCATGATAAGGTACGCGTAAATACTGCATGACGCTATTCGGTTTTGCCGATATATCTCTAATAATTGTGCCGGTCAGGCGCTGTGCACAATTTTAGAGGCCATAAGTGGGCGTGCTATGTGCGCAAACTAGTAACCTAACTAGTGCCCGATTCCGAAAATTGGAACCACGAAAACAATGAAGAAGAAAAACAAAGATTATAATCTGTGCTAATACCACACGAAACCAAATTGTTATCATACCACCAAACAGTGCCGTGGCACATATTTTTCTTAACTTAGCTGCCTGAAGAGATATTTATATTTTTTGATAAATGTTTTCAATTGCGGAGAAAACGTATTAAAATGTTAACAAAGGTACAAAACTAGTATCAAGTACGTATAATAAAAAGAAAAATAATTAATTAATTTTAATTCAATAAGAAAACTAAGAAAATGCTAAAAAGGTGGAGTGGATTAATTATTTACCTATGAAAACGTAACTCCTGGCTCTTTCTTATCTTTGCGGCTTTTACACTTGAAAGCTGAACAACTACTAATCACCATTGTACTAAAGTTTATACAAAGTTCACTACACACAAACTATTAAAAATCGCTAAAATTGTCGCTTATGACTCATTCGTTACAATAAAAAAAAATGGCGTCTAACATCACAAATTCTGCTGCAGCCCGTGTATGGGCGTTACACGTCCTTGTATTCTTTAGTCATTAGGAGAACGTCACTTTGAACAGGTAATATGTCTACCTAATTGTAAGCTGCATTCTTTGTTTTTTGTAAAAATATCATTTATTTTAATAGACATTCAAATTTAAAAAATTCACTTGTACAGGGTGGTCGGAATTGGTCTGTTGTAACAGAGAAACCATATTTCCTGACTAGATAGAGCAAAACCGACATAGATGTCATGGGCTCGATTTCTGAGACACGTTTAGAACCGCCTGTTGATATTTTCACTGCCAACTGAGATACGGAATCTTTTGAATTTTTTACCATTTGGAAAATTGCCCACAGCCTTTGGTTTCGCGGAATAATAAAATTCTGTAAAAACGTTCTTAAGGCACTTTTTAAGCACAATCCAGAATCCAGTGGCGTAGTTATTTTTTTTCTACGCTTGCTCTTTTTGTCAGAAATAATGAAAAATATATAATTTTTTAAATGGAAATCATAGTTGGCTATGAACTTAAAAAAATGCTGGCGTAATCCTTTCCAACGATATAAAGTTATGGGTACCTATTTCTAACAATGAGAGAAATATTAGGTTTTTCTATATTCATATCGAAGAGGGCCTTAATTTTGTGTTGGCCTATTTGACTAATTATTTTTTATCACAATTTAATATTCTATATTATTATTTATCTGCATAATTAAAGACTTTTGAAAAGGTAAATTAACATTATATATTAGTATTAGTAATTACAATTATTGAAATCTATACAACTATAAGATTAAAAAGTATTTTTGAGTGACGAATATAGTTTTCTAAAAAATCATTGAAATCGTCAAGAGTTACAACGATTTATTAGGCGATACACCAGTTGAAAGGATTTATTAAGCGATACAAAAGTTTGCCTAGTAGCCTTCTGCAATTCTTCTCTCGTCCCAATGGTTCTTCCATTATATACAGGGTGTCCCAGGCTGAACGTGCATTAGGCGTTTCTAGAAAACTACAATATGTAGATCGGAGATTTTTTGCACGTTATTGTTTCACAAGTTTTCTCAAAAATGGTTAATACTAGATATAGAGTGTTAGATATCAAAATTAATGAAGAAATAATTATTAAAGTAAGTTACTGTCAATTTCCGGTATTTCCGGAAGTGCCGCCATATTGAAAATATTTTTAATCGATAGATCTCGTTGTGAAACAGTAATGTACAAAAAATCTGCGATCTAGATATTGTAGTTCTCTAGAAACTTCTAATGCACGCTCAGCCTGGGACACCCTGTATAAGGTCTTTTAATTTCCCTTATAAAAAAGTCGAAAGTGTTAAATCACAGGACCTAGCAGACCAAGATATAGAACCCTTGTTCCAATCCAATTCTCTCTAAATTCTCCGTTTAATCGTTCAGTTGTAACCCTGGAGTTTTAATTTTAATTGGTAATACCAATATAGAATGTTGATTCACCCTGTCAAAAGTCTTTAATTATGCAGATAAATAATAATATAGAATATTAAATTGTGATAAAAAATAATTAGGCAACTAGGTCAACATAAAATCAAGGCCCGCCTTCGATGCAAAGATAATAAACCTAATATTTCTCTTATTCTTAGAAATAGATACCCATAACTGTATATAGTTGGATTTCTAGTTCATAGTCAACTAGGATTTCCATTTAAAAAATTATATTTTTTATTATTTCTGACAAAAAGAGCAAGTATAGAATTTTATTATTCGCGAAATACAAAAGTTATGGGCAATTTTCCAAATGGTAAAAAATTCAAAAAGACCCCGTATCTCAGTTGGCAGCGAAAATATCAACAGGCGGTTTACGTAGGCCCATGACATCTATGTCGGTTTTGTACTATTTAGTCAGGAAATAGGTTTTCTCTGTTAAAACAGACCAATTTCGACCATCCTGTACATTGTTTATAAATTAAAAGTTCTGGTAATCATTTTTTTACTTGATTTTAATGGGCTTAAAATTATTGATTACAATATACTTAAATATAAAAATAGTTATTTTCAGAGTATTAAGTAAATGTTCAGTTTACACTTTGACCGAATAAACGTTGTGTAAGTTAAAATAAATAAAGACAATAGTCCGAAATTCTTTTAGTTTCAACACTAAACGGATTATACCGGGTGGTGCATCATCCTTGGAAACAGGAAATCCCATGCACATTTTGAACTGTCCAAATATTGGATCCTCCAAATATTGCTAAGTTGTAAATTAGTTTTTTAAAGCTCTGCCTATGCTGAATACACATGCCAAATTTGAACAATTTTGAACACGCCGATTTTAAGTAATTTAAAAAAACTGCATCTATTTTTAAATTAAAACTGAACAGGTAACAATTCAAAACCAGTCAAATGTCAACGTACTTTAAGATATCAACCTATGATTTTATCATTATCAATGTAATTTGTTGTGCTGTCTACACTATTATAACATACCTACACTTAGTGTCCCCGAAAGGTATTTTTGTAATTTAAAACTGGCCAATGTCTGGACAGTTCAAAATTTGCATGGGATTTCCTATGATTCCAACGACGATGCACAACCAAATGGTATATAAATATGAATTTCCTAAATATTTTTTCATAATCTTAGTGGCTGATTTAGCGTCTGGCTAAATGAAAATATCGTACAATGTCAGTTTAAGCTTTTTTTATAAAAAAAATCGTTTTTAATCACCAGATATTGTTATATCATTATTTTGTAACTTTCATACCCTTATATCTACAAATTAATTTATATGTTTTATTTTTTTAATACTTCTATAACCATAAGAGTAACAACTTGAATACAAAAAAAAAAGAAAAGCTATGATTTACTTGTAATAGAAAATAATTTCTCATTAGAAATAAACCCCTTAACCATATTACCCATTAAAAATGTTAAATAACCTGTTTCAGAATTCGGTTTTGGCTATGTGAAACAACCCTTTGCATGTCTTCAGATGTATGTTCAGCATCGCCTTAGCCACAAAGGCCTTGAAGCAAAATTGACATCCGTAAGGCTTCTCCCCCGTATGGCCCCTCATATGAATCACTAAACTACTTCGTTGAGAAAATCCTTTGGTACAATAATCACAAATATATGGCTTCTCACCAGTGTGCACCCGTAGGTGCTCGACTAAAATAGGTTTCTTCGTAAAACATTTGCCACAATACTGACAGCTATATGGCTTGTAACCGGTGTGAATTCGTAAATGAAACTTCAGTTTTTCCTTGCTGGATAACGTTTTTCCGCAGACGTCGCAAATGGCGAAGTTGCCAGTGTGGGAATTCATGTGCAATTTTAAGCTGTTTCTGTGCTGGTATACTTTATTACAAATAACGCACTCGTATGTATTCGGACAGTGTACTTCATCTTTGTGCATGGAGGTTTTGTGAGCGTGAAGGTACCTGGAATACAAGAAACATTTCCCACAATACTCACAGTCGAAGGGTTTCAGACCCGTGTGATAATTATCGTGTTCTTGGAAGTGCTGAAGAATTTGAAAGGATTTCTTGCAAGAATCACACCAGTACTTTAGTAAATCTTCGTGCTTGTTAACATGCTCGTTGATTTTACATATCTCCAAGGTGCTAAACTCGCACATAAGACACTGAAAGATACCCATGTGATTGTGTATTTTTATATGAACAATATGGTCTAGAATTTTCTTCGTCGAATGATTGCAAACGTCGCAATAATAATAATTGTTGTGCGTTTCGATGTGGTCCTTTAAGCTGCTGTTGGATTTAAATTCTTTGCCGCAAATATCGCAAGGATGTAGTTCCCCGAAAAACCTAGAGGTCCTCAGTCTCTTTTTCGGATGCTCCGATTTGTAGTGTTGTCTTACAGCGTGAAGAGTATACTCTTTTTCGTCTTTACAAATCGGACATTTTATCAACTTTCCTTCGTCTAATGGTTCCATGGAGATCATTTCTTCGTCCAATTTGACATCGTCTTGTAGTTCGGTGTAGTTAATCTTTGGCAAGCGTTGCTTTCTTTGTTTTGTTTTTCGGGTATAGTCTCTCTTTTTAACGGGTTTCGGTATAGGTTTAATCGTTTCTGTTTTCTTTGGTCTACCTCTTTTTCTTTTATTAGGTAATGCTTTTTTATCTTTGGTTTCTGGCTTTGGTTCGGTCTTTATTTTAGTTTCCGGGTCTTTTTCTTCTTTGACTTCATCCGGAATAGGTTCGAGTTTTGGTTTATCTTCAGTTGTTTCTTCTTGTTTTTCATTACTTTTCGATTCTTCATTCTCCTCTTTGATTTTTACCTCTTCTATTCCGGGTTCCAATTTCGGAATTGTTTCTTTGGTATCTGTGTTGAGGTTTACCGGTGCCTCAGCTATTTCCACGATGGGAGTGAAAAACGCCATAGGGCATGATCTAAAATACAAACAAAAGCAAAATAAATTTTGTCTATATTAACATAACTATATCATTAACATGAACTAAGTTCTTAAAAAAAAAATTTCTCGGATATTATTTATTATTTTTTAAGTAAATTTTTTTTTAGTTTTTTACTTATTAGTTTTATACTTAATATTTTAAGCTTAAAATTTTACAACCTGGGTTATGTGTAGCATTAAAATTAATATACCATAAAATATCACATTTTAGGTGCAATTGAGCGATACGAATGTAAGGTTTTAAGAAGTTAGTTCATGTATTTTGTAACAATAAAATAAAGAATAAATCACTGATTATCGCAGAATTGCATGGCTTTGACGTGATAGATTCAGATTTAATTAGAAAATAGGCAAATAAGACGGATTTCGGCATTAAGCGTGTTTTCAAAAATAACAATTTAATTAAAATTATCAAGTAACGGATTGAATACAAATTCATAATGTGATATATAATTCCATTCTTAAACATAAGCCATTTCTTAAAGGATGGAATTGATTGAACTCTATAGGATGACAGCGAATGATTATCATCAATTGAAATCTTGATTCAAAACGACAAATGACGAACTATGCTTTGTTCAGCGTTATTAATGGACAAGAAACGACAAGAAAACGATAACAAAACACAAGCACCAGAGCAGAAAAAGAGAAAAAATAGACCAAAGTAATGACCAAAATATTTGACTTTATAGTTAACCTCAAAAACAAACAAGCTACGGTTTCCTCTACCCTCTAAGACCCGCTAAGAGTAGACCTCAGCGGAGCAGGAGTACAGAGATACCTCCTGGAAGGATCTGTTCCAGAGTAAGCAAAAACGAAAGCACTCCTCGTAAAAAAGGAGAGTAGAAGAACCAAGAAACAGTCTGGCGCTTCTCTACCAACGGGCAAGAGAGAAAAGCGAGAACCTATCACCTCTGCTCCGGCAAGGAGAGAAAAAGCCAGGATTGAAAGCCGTTCAAGACTGGAAGCTAAAGCAAGGACACCAGCTTTGCCACAACTCTAATTTAAGGACATCGAGTTGGCGAGTCATCAACTCGAGGAAGAAGAGCCCCACAATAGGAATTGACCTCAAAACAAAGGAGGCAATAGAGAAAGAGAGATATCCTCTGTTATAGATTCGGGACAACACCGGTATCAGGTCTAAGAAAAGATCAAGTTAAAGAGGTGGATAAAATGGAGACAGATCCTCCAGCCTCCACCTCACGGGTACCTCAGCCGGAGACAAGGTCCTCGACTGTAACGAAGAAACTGCAACCTAACCTAACCGTGGAAGGGTGTATATGCCCTCGTAGGTAATGTTTACTTCTCAGAGGAAGAACATCTGTTGTCAGAGGTGGATGGGAAATATCCTGTCGTCCCTACAACAGGAAAATATCCATGTATGATGAATTATAACTCAAGGAAGGGGGATAAATATTTAAATCGCGGTGATTAACCCCCTCGCACTCGTTCTACATTCTACAACCTCAAAAAGCATCAAGCACATAGGTAGCCGCTACCGGGTTACTGACTTGTCAATCGACACGTTACACAAATGAGTTTTGAACGCCTTGGTTAAAACCATAGACTTAAAATAAAATATAGACTGAGCATCTCATTCATAAATAGCTGGAAGGATGCGGTCAGACAATGTCTTGTTATTGTTGTGTTATTGTTTTAGGCTCTAACGAGTGCGACACGAGCGATAGATAGGTTGTCTCCGTCGTAACGGTCGTTCCCTGACGACTCTGACGAGGAATGCAACACTGTCTTTCGTTCCTCAGTACACCTGAACTCTCCGTACCATAGCCGGGTATTTTTTTTATTTTAATAAAGCTATAATTCAATTAAAAATATATCGTATTTAATTTTTTTATATTTTATTAAGATTTAGGAGAGGTATTTTAAATAAAAGTTTAGAAAAAAAAACGTCGAAAAGCGATAAAAATAATAAAATACATGTTATAGAAAAAATTTTAATAATCGAAATTACCTATTTAATTTTTGAAATTAATAAATTAATTATTAATTTTAGTCAAACATTTACAACCCCTAATATTAATCAAAACAGGATCTATTCTATAGATATAAGAGAATCGGCGACATGGAAAGAGAAAAAACTTCATGATTGTTGTAATTTTTTTTTCTGGTAAGTGATGTCTTATTATGTAAATTAGAGAAAACAGAGATCTGTTTCATTAAATCAAGGTTTTAAGAAATGGATAAAATGAAAACTACATTTATTTAACCCGGTACTGTCTTTATTATACCGGTTGTGTCCCAAAAGTGGCTCACCCCCATAATTTTTTTATTTTTTCTAATAAAAAAACAAGATTTGGTATGTTAGTATATTATGACATAAATTAGGATTGATTGACGCATTCTATTGTTTTTGGTCACTTCCTGCTTCACCGGAAATGACTATAACTTCTGATTTTTAAATGGCACCCTAGGTATATCTCTACTTTATTCGATAGAAAATGACACTCTCAATAGAATGACATATCATATGTCAACTTTTGACATTTTCGCATAAGGTTTAATTGAAATTGTAACACGCGGTTCATAACGACAATTTGACTCGAAATACCAAGTATCAATATATTCATAAAAAAATGCTTCTTCGAAATATGCTAATCAGTCACCCTTGTCCCATTTAAAAAAATTGACATACGATTAAAAATACGATTTGTGCATCTTTTAACAAATCGTAGCAATATACCGAGGGTGCCATTTAAAAATCAAAAGTTTTAGTCATTTCCGGTGAAACAGGAAATGACCGAAAACAATTGAATGCGTCAGTCATTCCTAATTTATGTCATATACTAGCATACAAATCTGTTTTTTTTATCTGAAAAAATAATAGAAAGTCATAGGGGTGACTTTTGAGACGCACCCGGTATATTAAAAAATATTGTTTCATAATGTAATATCATTTTAAAATTCTTGTATGTTATTTTAGATTCTGAAGATAGTTTTAGGATAAACTGGAATATATTTTTAATAAAAACATGATTAATTTTATTAACCGATGCCTAATATAATTTATCTTGTATAATAACAGGGTTATAATTATGATTTTGTTACAAAAACTTTTATATAAATGATTATGTAATAGAAAAAATTCAGATTTTACATTGTAATAAAATATTATCTAAATAAGCGCCTTTCTACAACAACGCCACTGACTCCCAATTGGTAAATTGAGAGTTGCCTACCGCTCGAAAGTCGTTTCGAGACTCAAATGAATCATTTAAGTCAAATACAAGATAATAGAAGAATGAATAGGCGACCTGGCCTCTAATCGATGTTGCCATATTGTAAATGATTTATCCTTTTTAAACATTATTTTTCCTGATTCTTTAGTTTTTTTTTTATTTTAATAGGAATTTCATTGCTTTGAATGTCTTGATTTCAATCATTCGCTAGTAAGCTCTCGTGAATGATAGCACTCGCTACCTAATAACAATTTGTTTCAAAATTGGTTATTAAACTTTTACTGGTGCAATGTTTGCAAATTAGGGAATGCGAGTTTTTACTAGCAATAAATGGCTCGAACTTACGACAGAGAAAAATCAAAGATTTTCTTTGATTTAAGTGAGAATCGGGTTCTAATCTTCGGGTTGTCACGGGGATTTTAATAGAACACTTAACAGTCTCTTCAATGCACACCTGAGTTGATTGAAGATAAGAAACCAGGGCGAATGCAGACTCTGTAAGGAAAATGAGGAAACACCAGAACACCTCATCAATGAGTACGCCGAGATGACAACCATACGACTGATACCGGAGATGGAAAACTATCCTCTGTAAAACCGTCTCAAATACTGGCTTTTGTCCAAGTCCTTAGACTGTATGATGAGTTAATGATGAGAACTCAAGAAAGGGGACACTATAGATCTATAAGATCGCGGTGATTAACTTCCTCCCTCCTATACAATCTATTAGTAATTATTAACATTCACTGATTTCCGGCTTTTATTGTAATATGAAATTAATAGTTACTTCTAATATCTATCCAATATGATGCGCTAATCTCCTAATTTTTAATAAATTAGGAGATAAAATCAGTAATTTATACTCTTTTAGTGTTCCGGAATTATCTATAAAGAAAGAAAAGAGGAAGAAAACAGAAAACATCATTAAGGGTGTTTTGGATGTACCATTAAGGGTTAACAATTATTGTTTTTATTCAGTTTTCGGAATACAAAGTAGGTACCTATTTACACATAATGCTCGAAATGAAGATAAAATGGTAATATGATGCAAATTACGTAATTAACACAACAAACATGGATTTAGTTCGTTCTGATAAAGCACAATTTATTGTTTCGAAAAAAAATATTATACTCAAATAATGTAGCAATATCAATGACACCAGGACCGCCAAAGTTTACAACAAATTATTTTCTTTTCATTTTCTTTTATATCATGTGCCAACTGTCATTGTGGCAAATTAAAAGATCCCTATACGAGTACTTACGCTAAAAGTGGGAATAAATGATGAGTAAAGCTCGCAAAAATGCAATTTACATTTTCGTACATTTTTTTTTCGCTTGCAATCAAGCTTCAAGTTAAACATTTTTTTTTCAAAAACTTTATTATATCAATATTTTATTACCTGTAATCAACTACCTGAGCTAAATTGTAATGCTGGTATAATTTCTCTATACATATATTCGTAAATAGACAATTATAAAACCGGACTCCGGGGAAAACGCCTCGATTGCTATAATTTCTGGAACAAATAATAGAGACTAATTGCCTAATGACAGGCAAAACTGACAAAAGACAAAATTTCATTCTAGAAAACTTTGTTTACGATTTATGTTTAATAGACTGTTTTGTATAGTTTTGTTAATCATTTTATTTCAGCAAAATAAAAACACTAAATCACCACAATACACGCCCAATTGTTTCGGCTGTAGGTTCTCCGACTTATAATTTGGCAAAATGGTTATCAAGGGAGTTCGAAAATTTACCTGATCATGAACCTTC